CGATCGCCAATGGTCGTGACCGCGACCTTACAGTTACGCAAACTACTGCCTACGATTCGCAAAACGACACCGTTCCTCGCCTCTTTTAAGTTGCGACAGAAGAGGAAGAAAATGAAGGGAGCACGGTTCTCTTTCAGATTAAGTCACGATTTTTGGTGTTCTTCTTCGGGCTTCTTTGGGATAGAGGAAGAAAAGTGTAAGCAGTGTGTGCATGCTTGGCAGAAGGAAAAAGAAAGAAGAAGAAGAAGATTGTTCGCCCTTGACTTTTTCTTGGTGGCTTGTCACAGAAGAGAATTTGTGTTAATTTCTCTTGTAAGTTTATATTCTTCAGCATAACTCGGTGTAGAGCTTCTTCAGTGTATCTCTGTGTAGAGAGACAAGAACGGAGAGAGAAGAAGAGATAGCAACGAAGTGAGAGATTCCTCTTATAAGTCGAAACGATCAATTTGTGAAAATTCCTCAAGTATTAAAATCCTCTGCAACTCCGTGGACTTAGGCAATTTGCTGAACCACGTAAATCTGTGTGTTTTGCTGTGTTACTATTTTCTAGTGTGAATTTTTTTCGTTCTATTTTCGCTTTGTCGATCGTTCTCCTGTTTGATTTATATATACACTACATCAGCCGGTATATCTCACAACAATATTGATGTTTTAAAAATAAAAAAATCAAAGTATAGTTTTGAAGCCAAATTCAATCAACCAAATTTATTTGTGTTCATCCCTCACCTTCTTTGAGAGTAATAATAGTTTAAGACATTTGATAAGTCTTGAAAAAAATTCATTGTTTTGCATAAATCTCAAACCACCACACAAATCTTAATCATATTTTTGTGTGAGAAATACTCAAATCAAAATTAAAAATCATTCAAAAGTTTGATTTCAATAAATTTATAGTCAAATGAATGTGTCAACGAGTCGAACACAATGACACCAAATTTTTCCAATTTGAGTCATATCAAGCTCAGATCAAGTCATTAAATTGCTTTTGAAAAATTTGATTGGTTAATTAGAAAGCAAACAAATTTCAAATCGGACAAACTTACAGCTAAATCAAGCGTCTTAATGAAACGAATTCACCAAATTTATGATCACTCAATTCTAACATCGTTAATGCACTTAAATATCAATATAATATTATCAATTTCAGATAATATCTCTGGGTCATCCAATGAAATGATACAAATTCCTTTCTCATCTGAATAAAGGTCTCTCGCATACTTTGTATATGGAGCCCTACTGCCTCCATGAAGTGGGGACTAAGACCGGAGCTTGGAGCTAGAACACAAGGAGAGTCCAGCATTCTACAATGAAGGCTCAATGAATGCCATCCGCTTTTGCATTCGTGGACCATCGCTAACCACCGCTCGTTGGTCGTCATTGACCACTATTAGCCTACCCGTGCTCATTGCAACGAAACCCCTTGCAAAATCATGATATACATTGTCAACGAACGTCGTGGAGTAACAAAACACCCAACACATCAGTGCATCATCTTGAATGTTGTGCAATACCATATTCCGAAGACGGTGTACCAAAACACTCATTTATTTTTTTCAATTTCTCTTCTCTAATATCATCATCTAAATTGTGCCGACTCAACTATAATCATGAATCCAACAAACAACATAAGAGAACATGAGAGCAAAATATTTCAATAATATAAAGAGTTTTAAGTATTTAGATCTAACTAGAATATTACTTGTTCTTTAAATATAATTGATGTGGTATTAAAAATTTAAGTGCTATAAATATAAAAATTAAAATTTAATTATTCAATAAGTAAATACACACCTACTTAATTTAAGTAAAATTATCTATTTTCATGAAGCAATAAAGTCAAATAAAACTTTCTATAAATTTATCAAAATATTTGAAAAGTCATAAAATAGAATTAGCAAAATCTATGATGCTATTGACCGAACAAACTAAACAACATTAAACCGAAAGGAAATTCCACCCCTCCCTCCTTGAAACGGCAAAGGATTGCGACATTTGGACCGCGTTGGACCGACCGAACCTTCCTCCCAGACCGCCGGTTCAACCCTTCAACTAACTTCCCGGGCCCACAACGAACCGGTCTAACTTTCCTAACCCATCAAGCTAAACTCCGCTCGATTAGGCTGCCAACACATAACGGTATATAATGCAAATTAACGAAAATACCCTCCTTCTCTTATCCTTTCACAAACAAGGACCGCCATTTTCGTCAAATGCCGATGTGTAATTTTCAACTTTTACAATGGATGAAAGAGGTTGTAAAATTGTAAATAGATATTTTTGGTTGGTTTCTATATAATTGTTCCTTTTCTTTTCTCTGCAGGCGTCGCGGGGAAGCAACAACTTCGCTTTCCTCACCCTTGACGCCATTGCTCAGCTTCTCCTCTTCAGACTCTACGGAGTTTATATATAAAGAGAGAAATACGGGAATCATTTGCTGTAATTTACAGAATCATCAGAGTATTTCTTGAATCTCTACATTCCCTTCTTCTTCTTCTTCATCATCATCTTCTTCTTCTTCTGCAAAGGCGGATAAAAAACCCTAAAGGATTTCAAGAAATCTTGAAGGTATATACTATTTATCAAGCTTCGTACTTATTTGTTAATACAATTGAGTTTAATGCTGTTTTCCCTCTGTTTTCTTGCCGGCAGATTTGGGAATTGCTGAGATTTGATCGATGTTAGGCGAGTTTGTAACCAGAGTTCTAGTGTGAGCTCTTCGATCTCTTAGATCTAGTTATTTGAGGAAACCATAGTTTATTTTATCTAATTTTGTGAAATCGGATTGAGAAGAGTGGTTGCCGATTGAAAAATATTTGGATTATGTTCTTGCAGATTGGTGCTTGGATATGCATACCCTGGATTTGAATGCTTCAAGCTTATGGAGAGCAGCAGGATTGATGTAGAGCAGCTCTTGTTTTGGTGCCAATACTGGTAATTCATCTTCTCACCTTGATTTGACTTTTACGAATCTTTTCCCACTTCTTCTGGATCCCACTGTGTCGAGAAACAGGAATTAGGGAATCAGGACTAGCTGCAGATAATGATTCGATCTATTTTTCAAACAGTAACGAATTGATCAAATGATGGGAGTAGATTTGATTCACTGCTGTCTTATTTAACAGAAACATTGTCATGAAATCAATAATGATTATATATATTTCTTATTTTTATTTTTTATAGTTTGATGTTCACGTAATAATATTTAACAAACATATTCGGTCGAAATAACTGGATTAGAATTTGGTAGAAAATACATATGAAGCTTGAATTTACTTTGAGATGAGTGTGATCAATGGATAATTAATGTTGCACTCATTTCAAAACAGATCTAATGATCATATTACCCATCATAAACACTCATTGGTCAGTATATTCTGATGCAAATTTTTTTTAGCAAATGGTTGATGAGATGGTATCATTTTTTGGAAAAAATATTCGGTCCGGATAATCTCACTTCCGGATGCCAATCTCAGGCAGCCGCGTCGTCATACACATTATCGACGGCTGATGTGGAGGCCGGTGCTTAGCTGCCAGGACTTGCGGACGTTTGAACGGAGTAGTTTTTTTTATTTTTTGGAGGAAATATTACGTTTGTTATATGTTTGTACGGACGACATGTCAAATTCACAAAGGAATTCGTCTTCTGCACACACATATATATAGTATATGTAATATTTTTTTCATTTTTGGTATTATGACAAAGAATGCACTAATACGGCCAAGCCAACGAGCCTTACATAATGTAGTAGCAACATAAACTTTGCCACATCAAATGATCAACCATAATCTCATAAGCATGTGATTTAACTTTTCAAACAAGAAATGAAGATTTATATGCATACCAGTCAATTATTTTGTATTTGTATATTTAACACTTAAACTTTTGATTTTTACATTTATATCATCTTATCTCCGCATGAAAAACTGTATTTAACTTTTAAAAGTTAAAATAGCGATATTTTTGATGACATATAAAAGATTTAGCTGACATAAATATAAAAAAGTAAATTTTAGGCACAAGTTAAGTAAATACATAAGAATTGAGTGGTGTGCATATAAATGCTTAAGTTTTTTTTTTTCTTTGATCACTTCTTACCTATATGCATAAAATTTGTTTAGAAGGAAAACTTAGAACAGGAAGAAGAGTTTCGTAAGACCCTAATTTCTAAATTAGTCTTAGGTTTGTGCGACTTTTGATCCTGTCAAAGTTGGTGGTGTTTGGCTTTGGTAGTTTGTCAATTTCCACCATTTAATTCAAAGTAAACAATTAAACAATTAATTTGGGGGGCTTTGTTTTCATAACTATAGGGTCGGATTTGAAAAGTTGATTGTGGTCAATTGAAGTGCTGCTTCAAAATTCCTGCTTCTTCATCTACTTTAGATGTCATTTTCAGCTCAAAACTTGTATGACAAGCATTTTGGTAGGGGCAATTACATATATGCTACACAATTCTTGTGTATTTACATATTGAACACTTCACATCTACTTGCATAACATTGAAATCTTGGACATCACATCAAAAATACCAGTTTCGTTATCTTTTTAAAATTAAAATAAAGTTGCTTGGATAGATTTATGATACCAACGTGCTATAAATATAAATATCAAAGTTTGGGCGTTAGATATGTAAATACATAAGAATTGTGTGGTATGTATGTAAATTTCCCAAAACCATTCAAATTAAAAGCTTTTCTCCTCAAAATAAGTCATATGTGGGGGCGTCCCCTCCAGTATTTTAATTGATTTTTCTATCTTAGTTGGAGAAAAATAAATGAATTCATCAAGCTTATTTGTTTTTGTGCGAGGTTTACGGAATTCAGCTTAACTAGGGAAGCTTCGCCGCATTGTTTATTGGCCACCCAATCCACGTCCATTTATAAAAATCAAATTGCAATAATTATAAGGGAGCATTTACATGCCTCTCTCCCAAATCCTATATATTTACATAATTAACACCTAAATTTAATTTTTTATATTTATTTTAACTTTTGAAAATTGAAATGCACTATATTAAAAGTGCAGGGTTTCTTATATGCAAAAATTGAAGTTTATGGGTTAGATATGTAAATTTATAGGAGTTGAGGGGTATGTATCTAAAATTTCCCAATTTTAAAGTTAGACCAACGGTGCTTCAATAATTTGTTGACATCAATTTTAATGAGTGTCTAACACGGGATCCGGTCCTTCACATCCCTTAGCCTAATAGACTGCATCTTTTAATTAAGATTAATTAGTCATAGTGAATTTTTTATAAGAATTTAGTGCTACAATAATATATTAATAATAAATTAAGATGATATTTCTATAAGTTAATGCACCTTATGGGCATGCTACAATATTTTTTTTTTATTGGGCCATTTACATACATGCTACCCAATTCCTATGTATTTACATTTCGAGCACCCGAACTTTGCTTTTTTTATATTTATACCCCCCAATGCCCCAAAACATAAAAAATACCATCATTTCAACTTTTAAAAAGTGAAGCACGCATTTTCATGCATAGGTATGATGGTAAGCATATACAAATTAAAAGTGGGGGTGTTGGATATATAAATACCTAGGAATTGAGTGGTATATGTGTAAATCTTTCTTTTGTATTTTATTTTATTTTATTTTGGTAATTTTCTTAGTAGTGGATAGAGCTGTCAATTTGACTCGTTGTTCATGAACAGTTCCTGTTCAGCTCGTTAAACAACTTTTGTTCGGCTCGTTCGTTAAGCCTAACGAGCCGAACACGAATAAATTTTTAAGCTCAAAATGTAAACGAGCCGAACACGAACAACAGTTTGTTCACTCGTGTTCGACTCAAATTGGCAAAAAAATAAATAAATAAATAAATACATAATAAATATTTATAAAATTAAATATTATAACCTATAATGAATTAAAATTTTTAAAAA